ATATAATGCAATCCCAATCCAGATTCCAATGACATTCTTCAAAGAGATGGAAAAAAGTATTACACACTTCATATGGAAAGGAAAGAGACCAAAGATATTATGCAAAGCACTGCTTAAGAAGAAAAACAGGGTTGGACACCTCTCACTCCCTGATGTCAAAATTTATTACATGGCTAAACAAGTGGTCAAAACAGCTTGGCACTGGTACAATGAAAGATACACTGATCAATGGAACAGAATCGAGAATCTAGAAAGTAACCCATCCACATACAGCCAACTGATTTTCAACAAAGTGCCTAAATATATCGCATGCGGAGGCGATAATCTTTTCAACAGATGGCGCTGGCCAAAATGGAAAGCGATATGCAAAAGATGAAACAAGACCGTTACCTCATGTCTTATACAAAAACCAACTTAGCATGGATTAAAGACCTAAATGTGAATCCCAAAATTATGAAGGCCATAAAAATAGGGACAAATGTGAGGGCTCTAATTCAGGGAATACACAGACTACCAAACATTTTGAAAACTACACACACAAAAGTAGACAAAATAATGATTGGGACACACTGAAAATTTTAAAGTTTTGTGCATCAAAAGACTTCACAAAAAAAGACTTCACAGAATGGGAAAAAATCTTTTGCAACGATACATCGGACAAGGGACTCATTTCTAAAATATATAGGAAACTACAACACCTCTACAAGAAAAAGACAAATAACCTTAAATTAAAAAATGGGGACAGGACATGAACAGACACTGTGTCAAGGAGGAGATCCAGGCAGCCAACAAACATATGAAGAAATGTTCATGATTACTAGCCATTCATTGTTGTAGCTGTTATGTGCTGTGGAGTCAGTTCCAACTCAGAGTGACCCTGCAGCACAGGGTTTCGAGGCTATAAATCTTTATAGGAGCAGAAAGCCTCATCTTTCTCCCATGAAATAGCTGGTAGTTTCGAAACACTGACCATGAAATTAGCAGCCCAATTCGTAACCACTATGCTACCAGATTAAAACAACAATGAGATATCATCTTACACCAGCAATAACAACAAAGATAAAAAAAGCAGCAGACAATAAATGCTGGTGAGGATGTGGAGAGACTGGGACACTCCTGCATTGCTGGTGGGACTGCAAATGGTCCAACCACTATGGAAGGCAATACGGTGCTTCCTCAGAAGGTTGGAAATAGAAATACCTTATGATCCAGCAATCCCTCTACTTGGTATTTACCCACAAGAAATACAAGCCATAACGAGTATATATGCAGACCAATGTTCACAGCAGCACTTACAATAGCAAATAAATGGAGACAGCATAGGTGCCCATAAATGGAGAATGGATAAACAAACTGTATTACATATACACAATGGAATATTATGCTACCTTGAAGAACAACAAAGAAGCTGTAAGCTACAACATAACATGGATGAACCTTGAGGACATTATGTTGAGTGAAATTAGTAATAAAGAAGAGATACTGTACAGGACCACTATTGTAAAAGACTGAAAAAAAGAAACCATACTAAAAAGGGTGGCGGGGGCCAGGGGGATGGGGAATTCTTTGCTGCTTACCGGGATGTGGGGAGTGGGGGGTGACGGGAAGGTGGAGCACAGGGTAAGAAATAGACACAGAATAGTTTGGATACTGGGGAGGAGGGCAATACACAAGAAGGGGGAGGGGAATTGAAGAACAAGACAGATGGGAGGACAGTTAGACAGGTTTGCATAGGCTAAGTGGGACAGAGGTAAATAATGATGTATGCACAACCTTGGAACAACAGGTCTCTGGGATACAGGGATTGAGGCATGGTTTGAATAGGTAAAATGGGGGGAATAATGTTAAGATGCTTGGATGTCTTTTAAATTTTGGTTTTCCTTGCATACCACTATAAAACAGACACTTGAGGGAGAGAAAGGAATAGCCAGAAATATTACCATAGAAAGTCTGCAAGTCTGTCTTCTGCCTATAACTGATTGTTGTTGTTGTTGTTAAGTGCCATCGAGTCGGTTCCGACCCATAGCGACCCTGTACAGGGTTTCCGAGGGTGTAAATTTTTACGGGAGTAGAAAGCCTCATCTTTCTCCCGCGGAGC